CACATGCTTAATTTCTTGAAAAATGGTGCACATGGGAGAAGAAGTCAACACATTTTGTGGCTTATTTAAGGTGAAATTGAAGTTTGACTTGGGTGCATGATGACTCACGTCCATGTGTTCTTTCTTTGGCCAATTGGACTTTTAAATTCATTTGTTAATTGCCATTATGACAAGTAATTTGTTAGGATTAAATTAGGCTTGTTGTTTTCTTTGGTTTTTAATTAATTTAATTAATAGGTTGAGTTTATGTGTTTGAGTTAGTGTTGCATTTAATTATTTTTAACTGTGTTTGTTAATCAGTTTGTAACAGTTTTTGATGTTTGAATGTTGTCTAAAGCTTTTAATAGTGCTAGTTTAATAACCATGCTAGCTTAAATTAGTTTGTTTGCATTTGTGTCTTTATTAAGTTCTTTAATTTTTGCAAAACCTTTTCAAACCCCCCCTAATGTGTTCGACCTATTACCTGAACCACAATTGGTCCTTGAGAGACGACCTAGGAGTCACTTCCTAGTTTATACTGCATTAATTTTGCAATCAACTTTCGTGTGAGGTGCGACCCTCTCAACACATAGCAAACTTAATTAAATACACAACATATGTAATCGATTAAACTTAACACTTAAACAGATTTTGAAAACTTTTCTTCTCAAAAACTCATCATAGCACATTTGAAAAAGATATATGCAAACGCACGAGTTTTAATCGATTTAACAACTAATGTAATCGATTCAAACTAGTTGTTTTGCCATAGTTCAAAACATAAGTTGTTTGATGACCTTAATTGATTACTACAACATTGTAATCGATTATGTCATGTAGATATGCTTTTGTGCTTGTGGTTTTCATTACACAGAAACATACAATGTGCATACACAGATATAATCAAATCATAATCACAATAGTATGCATAAACAACATAGTATGTCCAATATATGCATTTGTCACAATATATGCATTTATCACAGTATGTGCATATAACATAGAAGAATGTACATATTCCACATATGTTTAACACAACACAAAAACATTTTTCTGTTGTGACATAACAACCATCATGTGTTATTGCTATTAATGTGTTGTCATCATAAAAAACAACATAATAGGGATTGGGTTCAACTATCACATTGTTCCCCCTACCAACACTATTAAAAAAACTTATTCTTTGAAGAAACTTAACCTAAAGTACAAAATTTTGATCAATCAACTTTTTGTCAAAGACTCAATTTTATCATCAAGCAATTCATTATCCTAAATGAAGAAATATAATGATTCAAGAAAATAAGGCTTTTAGAAGATAATAACACATGGTCTCTACTCCTTTTACCAGAAAGCAAACAAACATTGCAAAGCGTGCAATTGAAATACAATTTTTATGAATCAATTGTCAAATACAAAGCTTAGTTGGTAATGAAAGGCTACAGACAATAAGCTAGAACTAATTTCTCATACACTTTCTCACTAATGACTTGTTATGGATATTGGCAAGTGTACCAAATCACACAAATAAGAAAATGAATATATCATTTTTCTAAGAGACTTGTGTTGTTTAGAAAAATTATGATTATATACTAATTTAGGTGAAAAACTTTGAAGGAATGAAAACTATTGATTTGTGAATAAAATAAATTTATTTTCTAGTAAACAACGAAACTAATTAAATGAAATGTATGATAAAAACTTCATCGGGGTTGAGTTTCCCATCTAATTCAATGTAAAAGCACTAAATAATATACCTCTAGTACCTACTCTAACATTCACACCACTATTTAAAAAGCCTTAATATCTTAGAAACAAGTCTAAACCTTAATAATAAATATTCTAATCTCTTAGATATTTTTACCAAAGATTCACATTAAGCATTAACGTTGGATGTTTAGAATGACCAATGATTAAATCTCTATGTCCAAAGTTGAATCTATTAGTTGTTCGATTCTAGTCTAGGTTATAATATCATGTCCAATAATCAAACACTTACAAACATCATGCAGTTAAGAACGATAATAGAACACAAAAGTAATGGAAAATAAATATATTGAATAGCATAAATCACAAAGAGTTAAGATACATTTATGTCCAACCCCGTGAATAAAAGAGCTAGTTACTCCTATACATTCTAAATACTAGAAAAGAATAACGATGAATGCATCCAGCCTCCAAAATGAGTTTCCACCCTAGAATAATTTTCAACTTTGTAGACCTTCTATGTATAAATTTTCATAAACGTGCAGCTCGCTAGGTGAATTAAGTCGTTGGGTAAGTTAAACACTACTTGTTGGACGTACTGGTTGGCTCATTGGGCGAACTAGATTGAATTGGACTAGGCCTAGAATTTATACTTGATTTTGTACTTGAAGTAACCAACTCTATTGATAACTGATGTTGTTAATATATTCTTTAATCTCTAGTTATAAAAATACAAATAAAAGATAAGAAATAAACATAATAAAAACATGATAATGTCAATTATTATGGCTAAATTTACCGCCACATAAGGGGCTTATTTTAGCCACTAATGCTGCAAAAAGTTGAAGCACATACAATAGTTAGATATCAATAATGCATTTTTAAATGTTGAGTGTTTTGAATAACTAACATGGCTATTTCCCAATATAACAAAAAAAATAATAAAAGGATTAGTTTTCAAGTTGAATAAATTTATATATGGATTGAGATAGACTTCTAAACAAAGGTTTTACGAGTTTTTTTCCACCTTATTGCAACAAGGTTTTACACAATTTAAAAATGATTACTCTTTATTTACTCATGGTTCTACTTCTTCATTGTTCATTTTGTTGGTCTATTTAAACAACATCATCTTAACAGACATTGATTCTTATTATGTTGATAAGGTACAATTAGCATTGAATTTTTTGTTCAAACTAAAAATTCTTACGTCCACTACGTCTTCGGCTTAGAAATTGTCAAACCCAATAAGGTGTCTCTTTGAGTTAGAGAAATACTCTTTTTTTTCTTGATGATATTACTTATTTAGGTAACAAACTAGCCACATTATCTGTAGATCCTAATTTAAAACTTAGTCATAATGATGGTGACCATATCGAGGATCTCTCTCGGTAAAGACGATTAATTGAAAGACTTATGTATTTGACCATTTGCAAAACCAAACATTACTTTTATAGTTCACAAACTTAATGATATATTCAAAATTCATTAATCACATATTTAGGTGTGATTCATCATCAATTACATTACTTAAAGTCCACTTTAGATCAAGGTCTCCTTTTTTAACTCAACAACAAATTTCATCTTTCAATGACTATTGAATTTAGTTAGGACATTTGTTTAGATACAAGAAAATTAACCATTGACTTTTGTGCTTACTTGGTAATTCTATTTCCTAGTGTTTTCTAAGGATTTAGTTCGATCATTGTCTTGTTATCATTTCAAACTAAATAGATACAATGTTTGTTCTTTTTCACAAGATACTTTGTTTTTCAATTTGACTAATATGTTTTGCTCTTAGGCTTTTAATAATAAGATCAATTTAACGTAAAAATCACTTATTTCATGAACTAATCTCAACCAAACACTTAACGAATTCAGCAACTTTTTTACTTTAATTTCAATTAAAATTTTATTCATGGTTCCATTACACAATTTGTTTTTTTTTTTTTGTTTCTTTTTATTTTTCAATAACAATGGAAATAATAGCACAATGACAATGGATGAAGTGTGATTTCAATATGGTAAAATCTGAATTGATGCATGTGGTGATACAAGGACTTCACAATTTACAATGAAATAGTGTAAAGAGTACAAAAAGTAAATTACAAGAAATAAATAACTAAAGAAAGTAAAGAAACTTGTAAATAAATCAATGAGAACATTGATCTAAATTGCAACAACCAACACAGAATTAATTATTTTTCTTGTTCACGGTGTTTTTTTAAAATGTATGTATTGCTTTAAAATTTGTCACCCTTTAAAATACAAAATTAACCTATTTATTTTTTCTAACCTTTCCTAAATAGTTACAAGATTTTAAATTTGAAATTTTAACAAGTTCATAATAAATATTCCTATAATCATCTTAGAAAATTACCCTTAAGAGTTTTGGAGTCCACATTAATATCACATTATTCTCTATATAATAAAAATAAAACATTTTTACAACTTTTTAATAATATATTGTAATTTTAATACGCAATAACAAGTTATTTGAAAAAATTGTTCGCAAAACAATAAGATGAATTGTTTTGTGAATTAAAATTGCTTTACTAAAATTATTACCCTTTTAAAAATATTATATAGTTTTTATAGTAAACATTTTAACAACATTGAAAGGATTGGCCATAAATGATTTAGATAAATTTATTTCAAACAAAAGAGTAAAAGGATTGAAGGTGTGTAATTTCAACATCAACAGCTCAATAAATTGAAAGACGAAGCACATGGACCACTCATATTCGTTTCCAATTCGAATAAATGTTGTCCTTGACGACGTTGAGACCAAATGTGGCGTGAATCGATGGAAACACCTCACACATTCTTCAGCAACGCTATCATGCTCACTTTCTTGCTTCTGAATTTGGCTTTGGGAAGAGTTGTCGGGGCCGATACTTATAACAGAGACGATTTCCCGGCCGATTTTGTTTTCGGTTCAGGCACCTCTGCTTACCAGGTTCAGGCTTAATTCGTATAAATTTATTTATCTCGTTTCATCGTTTTTTTTTTTTAATTCCAGTTATAGAAATTAAGTGTATTTTGCATTACAACGAAAAGATAACACCATAAAAGAGAATCCAAATTAATCTGTAAATATGTTCTTGCTATTATTGTAAACAGGTGGAAGGAGCTGCTAATGAAGAAGGAAGAAGTGATAGCATTTGGGATACCTTTGCCCACGCTGGTTCCTTTCCTTCACTCTTCATTCTTTCTTCTTCCCATCCTTCTTACCAATTTTATATAAATATAGATTTTTCATATTTTTGGAAATTTCGTACAATAAATCAAAATCAAGAGAATAATATCGTATAATTGTTTTATTATTGTAAAGTTAAAAAAAATATTAAGACTTAATTGATTAAAAAAAATACAAGGCCGAAGTGAAACCCAAATTATTATGCCAAATTTTTAATACTCTCACAAAATTGAAATTAACAATGTAAATTTATCAAAATTTTGAAAATGAAATGTTTCTGCTTAGTGCCATTAAAGACACCTTTTGGCAACATAGGTGATGGAAGTATTATGTAGTAAGAAAATGATTTAAATTGTAACTTTTACGTTTTTAGGTATTTTTTTAAGTATTTTACGTAGCAAGTGCATTCCATTTTGGGAAACGTCAAACTATCTTTTCTAGATTCCAAACTTTCTCTGAATTAATGCAATCTCACGAACCTATAATTTGGAGTTTATGAGAATTAATTGATGTAATAAGAGTTTAAAAATACGTAAAACTTAACCTAATATATATATATATATATATATATATATATATATATATATATAAGAAAAGGAATGTGTTGACAGGAGAAAGAATACAAAGAAACAAATAGGAAAAGGAGGACGGGAAAGAATACAAAGAAACAAATAAGAACTAAAACTTTAAAAATAATGAATAAACCTGCATCATTTTACTTCAACATCCAATGTAATGCATGGTATCTAGAATTATTTCATTTTTTAAACCATATGCAATATTGAAGACATTAAATAAGGATTTGTTGCCACTGTTATATCTTTTCAAAGGCATAAAGTTTGTAATATTTTATTACTTGAATTTACCTATAAAAGACTATGAGCTGCACATATCTACAACAGCGAAGAATCAAAATTCAGATAATGAAATATCGACTGACAATTCTCTCCTCCCCTCCTCCTTTTTCCGTGTGTGGTTTTATTTTGTAACTTTAATAGCATATTACATCCTCTTAAGAAAAACCATCTATCGTATCATTCATAGATCTACTGAAACGTGAATCAGTGATGAAACACCAGAGAATATAATTTTACTAATCTATTTTGTATTTTCAATTACATACCGACCTTATTCACTTAAAACTTCAGTCTATGCAATAATTTTTAATGAACAGGATATTTTTAATGAACAGGATATGGACATGGAGGAAATGGAGATGTAGCCTGTGATGGGTACCACAAGTATAAAGTGAATACGCTTGGCCTCAGTATTTTTTTTATTTGCCCGTTATTGCATTCATCGTGTTGTGATTCTCCCATTTGTGGAAGATTAGAGAAGATTGAGGCATAAGCTGATCTAAAAATACAAGTTTAACCACTGTTTTGTTCGAAATGTTGAAGCGTCACTGTAGCACCGTTTGATTTTAATTGTTTTCCCTAAAATATATGTAATGCAGGAAGATGTGATGCTAATGGTGGAAACAGGACTTGAAGCCTATAGATTTTCCATTTCTTGGTCCAGACTGTTACCAAGTATGATACTCAACACAAACCCTTGAATTTTATTTTATATATCTATATATCTTTGCAGGGTAAAACCATTCTCAACACTTTCAAAAAGCTTATGTTTGTCCTCAGATGGTAGAGGACCCGTTAATCCCAAAGGATTGCAGTACTACAACAATCTAATCAATCAGCTCATCAGCAATGGTTAGACTTGAATTTTGGTCTCTTAATTAGTTTGCAAAATTAGCCATGCATTGAATTCACTGCAAATAAATAAAAATTTGTGTTCTCTTCAAATTCTACAACTGATATAGTTACCCTATTTCCCTGGAGCAGGAATCCAACCACATGTCTCG